AGAATTCTTGTAGATTTCGCGACGGTGTCACGAGATGCATTCAACGAGTTGTTGGACGTTGGCGTACCACTCGATTACACAGAAAAGGGTGCCGAGGACGTCGTTGTGTTGTATACGAATGGTTTGGCAATGCCAAACAATCTCGGATACCATCACGACAAGACCGGAATCGAACCCTCTAAGGCGCTGGAAAATTGCCACGAGGTCAAAGTAATTCTGCAGGCGCCATCACGAAAGAACCACCAACAATGCTTTGCCATCCTGCCGCAGTGGCAATCCTACAATGTCCACAAGTGGATGCGGATACCCCCACCAGGCATGCCCAAAAATGTGACCGCAACGGACCTAGCATATCCCCTGCAGAGCGTAGGGAGAAACCGACAACCCGACGGAAAAGATGCATATCTCAGCGGAGTTCCGAAGGAGAAGCGCAAGGAAGAAAGCAACCAGCTGCTGATCGAATACCTGAAAAACCGAGACCGCGTGCTCCCCGATCTCACGGATTTTCTTCGGAATACGGTTATGAAGAATTCYATGGATCCATCCCTGAAAACACTGGTGATCTTGACCTGCAACAAGGGGCAATCGGTCATGTTCCGCAACTTTGTGTGTAACGCCCGTGCGAAGGGTTTGGATCTGAGTCACCTCGTCATGTTTGCTACCGACGAGGCCACATTTCAGCTGAGYCAAGAGCTTGGAATACATGCTTGGTACGATGAGGACATTATGGGCAGCATCCCAGAAGAATCTGCAAAAAAGTATGGTGACCAAACCTTTGCAAAGCTGATGATGGCGAAGGTCTACTGCGTGCACCTGGCCATGAGCTCCGGGTACCACATTTTGTTCCAGGACGTCGACGTCATTTGGCACCGTAATCCGCTCCCATATTTGCTCTCGAATGAATTCGAGGATTGGGATATGATCTTCCAGGACGATGGTTCCCGGGTATGGAGGTATGCYCCCTATTCTCCTAACAGCGGGTTTTACTTTGTCCGCAACAACCCTACAACATCATTTCTCTTCGAAACATTGCTTCGAATGGGGGACATGATCCATGTTGCAAAGAGTCACCAGCATATCCTAAACGATTTACTAATCCAATTTACCAGTTGGAAGGGCCTGAAGGTGAAGGTGATWAGAAAGGGAGACGACAATGTCTTCCCYGGCGGCGTCGAATTCCACAATAAGCCCCAGTTCATGAAACAAATCCTAAACGGAACCAAGAGGCCGTACGTATTTCATATGAGCTGGACGAACAATAAGGACAACAAAAAACGATATTTTGAACAACTCGGAGAGTGGTATGCTCGAGAGGAATCCGAYACCGGAAGCTCGTGTGTCGGGATGGGTTGCTGCTTGCCCGCAGCCAACATCACCTGTCACTACCGCGACAAACCAAGCAAACTCCCCTGTCCCGATAGTCCTCGAATCGACGGCGACAAGAGCAATAAATCATTTTGGTAAATATTCCATGTAGTGTACAGAGAATGGAGAGGGGCGAGCAAACGCAAAGTGGGAACCAGATAATGCCCTTGACTGGATTTTGATGATATAGCAWAGGACGCAATTCCCAAATTCGATTCTCAGCGGGTAGACAAACTAGAATTGAACGATGTTGTGATCCATTCTGGAAGACCTCGAGTGTCCTTAGTGGTATAGAGCTATTACAATATGGAATAGCTTGCGGTTCCCGTACACAGAAAGTTCGCTATCATTGATTCAGATTGATCTGGCTGCACCYACAGATGATTMTTTYAGTTTTCTTTGACGTAGAGCTCGTCACACTAGAATATCACCCGTGAAGGAAAGACTTCAATTCCTTGTAGGAAAAAGTCACGGACCTGAGACGGAATGAAATGGGAAAGTCATTGGTTTATTTTCTTACGAATGGACCTACTASCAGCTTCAACAAAATATTGTTTGGAGCAAAGTTYCAATGTAGAACTGTCATAAGCCCTCAACATTTGCCAGACTACTGCAAAATTTTCCTTCATTTCCTGGGATGCGTTATGYAATCATTCAATATTCTTTTCAACAGAAGAAGTCTGTGTCTATGCTTCGTTCTGCAGTTCTTTCGATGCGTATTGTAGCGCATTGCCATCCTGTTTTACAGYAGCAGTGACTAYCCGTGTGTCATTCTGCAGTTCTTTCGATGCGTACTGTAGTGCATTACCATCCTGCTTTACAGCAGCAGTTACTACCGACATGTTGCTCCTCAATTMCTCGCACGCAAATTGCAATGCACATCCGTGCTGCGTGACAGCGATCATTACCACTTGYTYGTTGGTCCTCAGCTCTTTCGATGCGTATTCCAACGCATTGCCATCCTGCTTTACAGCASCAGTCACCAATTTCAAGTTGCTTCTCAATTCCTCGGATGCAAATTCCAATGCTTTCCCATAGTTTTCTACCGCAGTAGTCACTAATTTCAAGTTGCTCCTCAATTCCTTGGACGCAAATTCCAATGCCTTCCCATGGTTTTCTACCGCAGTAGTCACTAGCACCAGATCGTTCCTCAGTTCCTCGGATGCCTGTCCCAATACCCAGTTACATGTTTTTACTGCAGCGGTCACTATCTCCGCATTATTTCCCCATTTCTCGGGTACGTAGGCCAATGCATGGCCATGCTTTGTGACAGCACTCATAATTACGTCCATGTTGCTCGTCAGTTCGTTGGATACAAACATCAATGCTTGGGCTTGACTTTTTACWGCAGCAGTCACCACTTTAAGGTTGTTCCTCAACTCATTTGATGCAAACCTCAATGCGCCACCTTTTTGTGTTACTGCTGCAATCACTACCTCCTCATCCTTCTTCATTGCATCGGACGCGAATTTCAARGCATCCCCAGAGTTTTTTACTGCRGTAGTCACTACCTCCTTATTTCCTTGCATTTCTTCAGAAGCATAATCTAATGCAAAACCAATCTGTGTTACCGCAGCAGTCACAATCTGCACATTATTCCTTAGTACAGGATTTGCATGCCGCAGTGCTGCCCCATTTTGAGTTACAGCTGTAGTCACTACCTCCGGTGTGGATCTGATTTTCAAGGATCCAAAGAGCAATGCTTCTCCGTTCTTTGCTACTGCAAGAGATGCTACCTGGAAATTGTGTTGCATTTCTTCGGATGCGGTTTCCAATTCCATCGGATTCTTTGTCAATATCTCGAGCTCCTCCATTACTTCCTCTGACGGGAAATACCATTTCCCGCCCCAATTCACCACCGCCTCCATCACTAGTGGGTGATTCCTCAATTCCTCGGATGCAGATTYCAGGGCACATTTCGAAAGTAACACTCCAGGGAATACCCTCTCGAGGTTGTTCTTTAGTTCATCGGATGCGAATTTAATGGCTCGAATGTCCTGTTTCGTCGCAGCAGTTACCACTTGCAGATTGTTCTTCATTTCTTTGGGTGCATATTTCAACGCCATCCCATCCGCGGATACCGCTGCAAGAACTACCGTCAGATTGTTCTTCATTTCGCTCCGCACGCATCGAAATGAGTAACCTCTCTTCAAGTAGATGACCAATTCCTCCATGCTTTTCTTTCGTCGTGGTCTCTTGTATGGAGTTTGTGGTCTGCGCTGGCTCTGTAGTACCACTTTCATGATTGCGCTGAAACGATGTTGCAGATGATCAGATAGTGAGAACAAATTGATTGAATTGCTTCCTTTTTGCCAGTATGTAACAGTGTCAAGCTAGAAAAGGGTGGATTTGGATCAGAGGGTTCTCGGGGTTCTGATCTCCTGGTGATGTTGATGTCACTCCTACCTGTTCCTCCCGTAACACTCTCAGTGTTTCCTCCAGAATTCCTCTGCAGTTTTCTCACTTCGACTTCAAGGAGTGTGAGGTGTCGTGGATTTGATTTTGATGCGCTTGCTCAGAGTAAAGATCTTCCGCGAAAAAAATGGCGCGGATCCTTGCAACTCGGTCAGCAGAAGATGCAGAAGATTCCTTCTCAAGCGGGTGATGACGGACTGACTGAAGAATGCTCGAGCAAGTACGAACGGTAGTAGATAAGAATTCCGACCAGCAGCACTTCAGATTTTGTATAGTGAGCCTTTGGATTTGTTTCGGCGGGCTCCCCCGGCTCCTGGTGACACTTTAGATTTGTTCTGGCGCGCTTGCTGGCACCATGTGTTCTCAATATTTGCTTGCGAGAATGCAGTTATTTTCTGTTAATTTCAAGCAAAATTCCATATTCCAAAATCAGGCACATTTAGCGCGCCATAATCTAAGATTTTTGATTCTATGTGCATACATACTTATTCCCGTATACATAAATTCGTAAAGTAAGACGGCATAGATTCTATGTTTACGGGAATCACCCAATATATTGAGGGCCCCTCAATTCAAAAACAAAAAAGTTAGTCATCCCTAAAATATGAAAATAGTCTTCAATTTTAATTTGTCGAAGCCCCCTAGCCAGAATCGTTGGTCACAAGAACCGTTGCGTCTCCTCGTTCATCGTAGGCATGAGCAACTGACCCCTGATTTTCGTACGAGTGCGCGTACGAGTACTACTGTACGAGTCGTACTACTTCTCGAGGTGACTCTTTACGTAACGTTACGGCATAGTGAGAAAAGCTATCGTACAGAGTGTTCTNGTACGAGTACTACTGTACGAGTCGTACTACTTCTCGAGGTGACTCTTTACGTAACGTTACGGCATAGTGAGAAAAGCTATCGTACAGAGTGTTCTGAGACTTTTCATCTCGAAACCGTCATTTTCAAGCAAGGGGATGCAAAACGTCTCCGTCTCCCCAATCGCCACCKCTATCAACATCCTTTCCTCCGAAACAGTCCAAAAGGCGGCCAACAACCAAAGTGGGAAGAGGCACGGAGGTAATTTACAATTGGGAACGGCACAACAAGCGCTAGGGAAAGGAAGGCGCAATGGCAAAGATGGTTTCCATGCCGAAGGATTCGGGCAGAAGCGGCAGTAGCAGCAGGAAGACGAAAAATAACAAGAGCAACCGCGGCGGGCTTTCGCTCCGGACGATCGCGTCCCATTTTCTGGTGTTGTTGAGCGGGATTTATATCGGTCTCATAATGGGATCGCATACGTGCCCCGTCGCCCCCGAGCCCGAGCCCTCGACGAGGTTGCTGACAGCGGCAGAATGGCAGGCTCAGTTCCGCGGAGAGGTCCAAAAGCAGCGAAAGGAACTCGAGGCGCTAGGAAGCAAGGTGAAAGAGGCTGCAGCCAATAAATCAGCGAACACAAGATTTCCGGAGAAGGTCTCAAAAATTGTATACGATTATGCCACTGTCCCCCGTGACAATTTCAACGAACTGATCGAAATCGGGGTCCCCATGGACGACACCAAGCGGGGATCGGAGGAAGTTGTCATTTTGTACACGAACCCCAAAACCCTGCCGTTCAAAGGAAAGGGGGAAGGGAAAAATCCAAAGCACATCGAGGGTCCCAAGGAGGGCATGGATGTCGAAAAGGCACTKGAGAACTGCCAAACTCTCAAGGTGATTTTGCAAGAGCCGGTAAAAAGGAACAAGCAGCAATGCATTGCTATCGTTCCGCAGTGGGAATCTTTCCACGTACACAAATTCATGCGCGTTCCGAAAAAGGGAGGACCCGTCGATGACAGCGTGCCGTTGAGATACGTTAAAAGAGGTTATTCGGAAAACGGCAAGGATCCGGGGGTACCGGAATGGGGAGCTCATACCAAACCCTCGCTCGATGCCATGGCGGACTATATCACACACCTTGATGACACCCTGAAGCAACTAAGGCCCTTGGTGAAAAAATCAATCGAGGATCACAAAAACAGCGGGGAGATCTCCAGGGCCATGAAACGGTCTAAGGTCATGGTCGTCATGGTGTGCAACAAAGGTCAGGCGCATCTGTTCCACAATTTTGTTTGCAATGCCCGTGCGAAGGGAATCGATTTGAGTCGAATCATAATGTTCGCAACAGATAWATATACGGCAGACCTCAGCCAAACACTTGGAATTCCAGCATTCTACAACGAAGACATCTTTGGGGAAATGCCCGAAAATGCGGCAAGGGCCTACGGAGACAGGACGTTCTCCAAAATGATGATGGCAAAGGTTTATTGCGTCCATCTAGTTATGAGCCTTGGGTACGATGTCCTCTTCCAGGACGTCGATGTCGTCTGGTACAAGAATCCTCTCGAATACTTGGTAACGAAGGAATCAAAAGAATGGGATATGATATTCCAAGACGATGGCTCGCGTCAAGTCCGGTATCAGCCGTACTCACCGAACACGGGTACGTTGCCAACAGYGATGAGTTTCGAAAATCGCATCATACCGAATCTCAAAACAAAGATCTGGACGTCCTCMGTCACACCGGAATCGAAACAGYCCATGCTTGGGTCGCTTCTCGACGCACTGTTGTTTTTGGCTTCGTATTCTCTCGTGAATTTGCATATATCTCTTTCTCATTTTTTTCCTTGCTGTTCGAAATCGGTGTTCTTTTTTCAAATGRATCAGGATTTTATTTCGTTCGCAACAATGATGTGACGAAGTACTTCTTCAATACTCTCATTCGAATGGGCGATCTCGTTAAAAAAACTAAAAGTCACCAAGCGGCGCTCACGGCGTTAGTGGCGGAATTTGTAAGTTGGAAGGGATTGCGAGTCAAAGTCTGGAAAAAAGGTGGAGAWACGTTGTTTCCGGGCGGGTTCGAGTACCATCAACCCAGCAAGGAGTACATGAGAAAATTTTTAAAGGGGGATGTAAAACCATTTATTTTCCACATGAGTTGGACCCAAAACAAGGACAACAAAAAATTGTACTTCGAGCAAATGGCGGAGTGGTACACAAAAGATGAAAGTACTGGGTGCAAGGGACTGGATTGCTGCCTCGCCGAACCAGTCATAACTTGTCACTATAAAGACAAGCCTAGTTTCATACCTTGCAAAGATAGCCCACCGATCGACAAGAACGGAAAAAGTTTTTGGAAATAGAAATAGTCAAATCCATCGGAAAAAGATAGCCAATATAATTATAGACCATACATAGTAGCAATCGAACGAAGAACTCGTTCAATTGGTTAATGTTTTTCCTTCTCCATACCTACAAGTTATCTTCTTTCAGTTTTGTGCTCCTTTCAAAAGCG